CCCCAAAACCCCAAAACCCCAAAACCCCAAAACCCCTTTTGAGATTAAATTAATTGAAAAGCTATTCATTTCCTTGCAAAGTACTATATCTCCGACCTCGAAGAGAGATATTGCTTCCATTACGTAGGTTCCTCTTCATAAAATATTTTTGCTTGTTTTTCAGTCTACAGTAATCATAACTTCAAGAATCTCATAAATCAAGGCTACAGAAAAGCAAAGACAGATATCTATCAAAATACTATAACTATTATTTCAGAATTTCAGGAAAGTTTACATTTTCAGCCCGGCATGCTCGGTTTTATCACACTTATTGGTTTCACCAAAAAGCCTGAGTTTTCGCTTCAAGCTCTGAATGCCTACATAAAATGATATGAGTCTCTTACGACTTCTAGAACGGCTATCTTCTAAATTATTTTAACTTCAGGATCCTCATTTTCTTGAACGTAGAAATATTCTGCCTAGATTTAGATTGTTAGATACTTCTTTAAAGCAATCTGGTTTATATTCAGTGGAGAAGATGCTCGAGAGTCCTGGCTGGGAGCCAAAGAAGAGTTTTGGCAAATACTAACCGTGCTTGAAGGACAAGTCATCCCTAAATAGATGATCAAGCAGCTTACCTCTGTTGACTCCTAATGATTTTAATGTCTTAACATTCATCTTGTGCTTCAAGAATCTAAAATAATTAAACAACAAGTACCTAGACTTATCCAAAGGATGATAAAATTTATGAGATTTTTCGAAGTCCTAAAAGTTTAGGATACCAGCTTACTCCATCGAGAAGTTTCCGAGAAATAATCTCATTAAGGAACTTGGCTTTCCTAGAAATTACTCAAAAATTTACAATGAGTCGAAACCTCCACTTGAAGACAGTGAAGAACTTTTTCTGTGGATAAGCTTTTTTTTCTATGATTGTGCAACAAATTTACTGTAGTGATGAAGTTAAAAGCTGGATTCACCGGTGGTTTCTGAGTGTTCTTCACTTGTGTTTTCTATTAATAAACCTTAGAGGCTATGTTAGAAGTCTGATCTACCTTGTACTTCTTCCTGATAATTTTTGGCTCATTCATAGTCTAAATAATGGTAAGCACATTATTTTCATGTTTCTTCGAAACTAAACCTAAATAAGCAGGATCTATTATCTAACATATTTTGGTGACTCTTCAACTATCTGGCATATTCCAAAAGTAAGGAGTATAATTTACTCGAACATATTAAATATACACCAAATATGAAGATACTGATCAAAGCTCTTACCATGAACTGTCTCTCGATCCCTTGGCTTTTTGTAATAATCGGGTTTATTATATCTGGAGGTGGGTTTATCAGCTCATTTAGAGGTATGACTCCTAATAACCATAATACGAATAACCTACTATTTCCATTTTCTGTCGTCTTGAAGCTATTAAAGTACTTCAATGAAGGATTCTGCTTCATTTCTACACATAATGAGAGTAATCACTTGCTCTTGGTGATCTTTTTAGTTATTCAAACATTCATCTTTCAATAATTTTATAAATAGAGGGGTTTTGGGGTTTTGGGGTTTTGGGGTTTTGGGG